TCGCCCCGCCGCTGGGGGGGGGGGGGGAAGCCGACGGGGCGGCGGGAGCTGCCACGGGATCATTAGCCATGTGAGGCGATGCCCACCTCGGCATGATTTCGGTCCGGCGATCGGCCCGAACGAACGCTAAAGCCACCCCCCACCCCCCGGCTCCCATCCCAGAGGATTACGACATCCAGAGAGCTCAGAGCTCAAAAGACTATTTTAATCTTCCCCCTGTTCGCAACAAACCCGTCGGGCATCTCTGCAGCAGGACGTCGTCAGAGCGACACGTGGCAGAGGCGACGCCGTGCCCCGGCTCGGCTGCACCGCCCCAAAACGCCTTTTCAGCAGTTTTTAAGCCCTATGACCCTTCCCAGGCCACCGCGGCGAGGTTTGCGGGGACAACTAACACCGTGCCGAGCAAGGCAGCAAAGGTTCAAATACACCCTAAGCGAGCGCTTAACTAGGCGAGACCTAAGACTGGCTTTCACGCCCCAAAAGCCCCACGCGACAGAAAGCGTTTGCTCGTCCGACGCGACGCGGGGACATGCCGGGTTGCCGATTCCCTGGGAGCCGAAGGCGGCGCCGCGGAGGAAAATCCACCGAGGCCGAGCGAGCCCCGCGTCTAAAAAAAAAAAAAACAGAGAAATATTAAGGTTAGCGAGGGGATTAGCAGCGCACTGCGACGTTTCTGATCCCGTCTGCCACGGGAATGCTTTCCTCAAAAAAAAATCAAGTGCGATTTTGGGAAAGCGAGGAGAGTAGAGGAGAGTCGCCGCTGTACAAATGCGGACGAGCATCCCGGGAGTGCAAGGGCACGGGGCAATCCAAGCGCCTGCGAACCCGGCTCCAAAATGTCCTGGCTGAAGGATTTCTCCCCAAATCCGAACTCAAGCACGCTTTGCTAATCTAATTTTTACGAGCTCCCGGCAGTAAAACGCTTCGGTCTGCCCTCTCCTGGGTGGAAGTCCTAAATTTTAACAACCCTCATTTGCTGGAGGACGGGGATTTGCTTCCGCTTCCCTCTGCGCGCATCCTGGCACACCTCCGTGCTCGCCGCGCCTCGCTGGAAGTCCAGCGGGAAGAAGCAAGAGGTCTCGTGGTCCTCTCGAGCTGCTTCCAAAGCTTCCAACGTCCTTCTTCACACAGAGACGTGCACCGAGAAGCTCGCTGTCCCGCACCAGCCGAGTCTCGTGCCGGCGGTCCACGAGGATCGGAGTGACTCCCTGTTCCCGAAGAACGTCCCGGGATGATTTCATCCACGCGGTTAAACGCTCACGAGCGGATCCAGATCACCGGCGGGAACCTCTCACCCGCGACTCCCAGGTCTCCTCCGGGCTTCACCGCCAGCGCCGGTCTGTTCCCACCCGGAGCTCCTGCACCTGCCGGGTGCTGGAAAACCCCCCGAGTTTACCCCCCGGAGTCGCAACCGCTCACGTAACCGTACGGGCGAGGCCACGAATGCCGGCGAGCCCGGCGCCCGCTCCGTACGTCCCCATAACCGACAATCCCTGCGCCATTCCTGGCACGAGATCGCCCAGCCGGTCCGTAACCCTTCCGCGGCGGCTCCGGATCATCTCGGTGGGGCTGCTGGAAGGAGCAGTTGGGATTTGATCTTGGTTTTGCCCTTGTGAAGCCTTCAAGGAGGTTAAACGCCAACACCGAGCAGCGGCTCTTCCCCCTGCAAGGCTCGGGCTTCGCGCCGAGGCCACCTCGCTCTTCTGAAACTCGGATCCACGAAAAACGTTCTTACTTTTGCCCCAACGATGCATCCTCAGGATCAGCACCCGGACCCTCTGAGGGAATTCCCTCGCCAGATTATCAGGGGTTTTAATTGAAAAGGCTCTTCACGCGGGTTTTTAGAGCGTCCCGTCCCTGCTCGTTTCTCTTCTCCCCCTTCGCAAAGGGCCGCTCTCCTGCCCGTTTGCGGTAACGAAGCCTGCAAGTCAATATTTATATTTCCTGTTTGAGCTCGGTCTTGAGGCTCACCGGCAAATATTTGCCGTGTCTGTAACATCCGCCTTCAAAAAACCCTTGAAATTTCAGGGAAAAGCCTTTTTTTTTTTTTTTTTTGGGCAGAGCGGGGCGGCAGACGAGGGCTGAAGCCGATCCCGCGGCACGGCACATGTTTTTCAGCTGCTCTGGAGCTGGCAGAAGGGCTTTACCGCTGCTGACGCCGTCCATAAAACAAAGCAGAGCTGTTCTGCAAACAGGTTTGATAAAATACATATTTACACACGGTTGGGCGGGCGACTTGAGGTAGCAAAGCGCGGCTGACTCCTGGCCCGGGTGGAATTACCCGCGGCTTCAAATATCTGGTTTTAGGAAGAGCAGGCTGGAGACCGCGCAGGTTTCCATTCGGAGCATCCCCGACGGCGTCCTGGATTCCCCCCCTTCCTTAAAGTCTGCCCCCCAAAAATAATCACGTTAAAGGACAAAA